CAGCCTAGTACCAGCTGAGACTTTATACGAAGATGGATGGTCTGCCACACATCATCGTGTATATCAGCATTATTCTGAGGAACGCGTGTTAGTTACTGATAACACGCAGGTTAATTTACCTTTTATAAGGCAGCAGTCTTATCAAAGGTTGCTCGAAGAAGGAATTCAACATATCCATTTGGGATTGATTATGATACGACTTCACACTCTCCATCGACGGGATGCTGGAACAAATGCTCTACTAGTATTACGAGACACCAGATGGCGTTCTGATGTTTCAATTATTGGCACGATGGAAGTGGATCTGACGCATGGTACACAATTAGTCTACATAACACCAGACATAATGACGTCGATTCATGATTTTCTGAATCATGTGGAGCTGGTAATACTCACTCATGGTTATGAACACTGGCAAGCTGGAGAATCTAACCTCCTAATAACCAGAGCCTTGGTAGCAAGACTCACCAACACCAGTCATGCTGGATTTCGTTATCACGTAGATGGTATAGCTGACTATCTTGCATCCAATGGTATAATGGCATTACCAGGAGCTAAGCAAACTATCGATGACCTACGAGGTCTTGATTGGAATCTAAAACCATTTGATAATGAGGGATTACAAGTCCCACGCTCGTTATCAACACGACAACGTATTGACGGATCAATACGCCTCTTTCTCGGGATATTCATATGCAGCACCACCATCATTACCAAATATTTCTTCTCATGATATTGAAGACCATACTACCTCAGAAACAGCCTTAATGGTTCATCTGGATGAACCTGTTTTTAATACCTCTGTTGAAGAAGGAAATGAGGTTGAAGGCGCTGATCAAGAAGATAATGATCCATTCTCCTTATTTCTTTATTTTAATCAGTTAAATAATGATTTTCATCATTATCCGGAAGGTGGTGGGGAAGAAGCAAAGAACGAGGAAGAGGAGGACGAAGCTAGGATAACAACCTCATTTCCTCCTTAGAACCTCCTTCACTTGGTTTTGTTAACCCCGCTGAAGCTAGAATCAACACACCCTCTTCCTTATGTATTCTGGTTAAACAGAACAACACCTTAATTCAGTTGATTCTAAAATTATCTGAAAGAGTTATTTCTCTTGAGGAGGAAGTTAAAAACCTCCGAAAGGAAAATACTAAGATCTCAGACAATTATGTAACAAGCCTTCAGAAACAATTGCAAAATCTAACAATCTCTGAACTCCCCCAAGGACCTATAGTGCGACGTCCGAAAGGACAGTACTTTGTTTATCGAAATCCTAAAACTGTCTTTCTTGCTGAACAACAAGTCATACAGAGAAAAATCATCTGGTAATATCAGGATAACTCCCTTCGTGGTACTTGCTGATGGCAGGTTCCACATATTCTGTCTGTATGATCTTTTAAAATCAGAACCCCTTGTTCTGTATTCATCAGTTGATGCTATGGGATCAAATTTAGGATTATCTGCAGGTGTATACATAGGAGGTCCCATCATAGCCTCTCTTGGTGGATTGGGTGTAAAGCTTGAAGAGACAGAAGCGTATGCCCTGTCTGCTTTCTCAGCCATCTTTCTTAACCTTGGATAATCAAGGTCATCAAGTTGGCTTTCAATACTTGGGTAGGCTATTTCAGGCTGTGGACTAATTAATGAGGGACTGGACTCAGACTGGATAGTTATGGGAGGTGGAGTTTCGGGTAATGGCTCTGGCTTTGGTGGAGTTGTTGGTGATGAATTATCATCTGATTCATCGCCCCATCCAGTGGGTATTATAGGCCCCTGATATATTTGGGGTATCGAATATTCAACCAAGTAATCATACTTACCGCTTGGTTCTCCTAGTGGCCCGACTGTCGGATCACCATTCTGATATCGTTCCCATAGACTTTGTTGATAACTTTTCTGACGAACAGCTGTTGCTTCGGGTTTAGGGTATTCTTCGTCCTCCTCTTCCTCGTTCTTTGCTTCTTCTATGGGAAAGCATTGTAGCCAGTCTGCATTAATTATTACAGCCCATGGTTTTATCAAAATCATGGGCAGATAGTGGTTTGCATTGTTGTTGTTCAGCAAGAAAGACAGTTTTAGGATTTCGATAAACAAAGTACTGTCCTTTCGGACGTCGCACTATAGGTCCTTAGGGTAGTTCAGAGATTGTTAGATTTTGCAAGAAAGACAGTTTCTGTTGGATGGCTGAGAAAGCATGGTTTTATAAGAAAGTGGCTCTACTATGGGAAAGCATTGTAGCCAGTCTGCATTAATTATTACAGCCCATGGTTTTATCAAAATCATGGGCAGATAGTGGTTTGCATTATTGTATCGTACCAGTCTGCATTATTGTACTGTACCTAGTGGGAAACTTTTGAGCCAATGGTTTTGCGAAACCATGGGCTAGTTTCCGGTTTTCCCTTTTGCTCCTCTGCCTTATGTATTCTGGTTAAAAAGAACAACACCTTAATTCAGTTGATTCTAAAATTATCTGAAAGAGTTATTTCTCTTGAGGAGGAAGTTAAAAACCTCCGAAAGGAAAATACTAAGATCTCAGACAATTCTATAGCAAGCCTTCAGAAACAATTGCAAAATCTAACAATCTCTGAACTACCCCAAGGACCTATAGTGCGACGTCCGAAAGGACAGTACTTTGTTTATCGAAATCCTAAAACTGTCTTTCTTGCTGAACAACAAAAATCCAACAAAAAATGAGTTCATCGTTCAGATCTAGAACTGAGATTTTACTGCCAGTCAAAATAAATAACACCACCACCAACACTCTCTCAAATCTTGATGACCAGATTCTGCAAAAGGTTTTGCTTCCACTCAAGAGATCATGATTGTGAAATGTGAACAAGTATACCAATAAACCATTGAGGAGAATAGAGAAGAATCAGATTTCAATGGAAATCCAACTGCCTTAGGAGATTGAAGGGTTTATATATCTCTTCTGAATGCACAACGAATTTGAATAAACATATGCGATTAGTAGGAAAATGATCTGAAAAGCTCTCGATGCAACCCTACCGTGTTAATCTGCAGCCAAACCCAAACACAGTCCAGAATCATGAATTACAACGACGCATATAGTGTGGATCAATATAAATGATTATGCGTTAAACTTGTCCTCCCAAATCGGTTTAATCATCAAACATTTTGCACCATGTTGCCAATTAGAAAAATGATGAATAAGTCCAAATTATTCTAAAACTCAGCAAATTGGTCCCTTGATTTTGTAAATGTAAATAGTGACCATTTCATTTGTCACGTGACATCATTGCTCAAGAGAAGACCTTTTAATGATAAAAAAGCACCGCAGAAAAAGACCCATTTAAGCATAATTCAATTCTTAATTAGGCTTAACTCCTACTTTCAGCTGCAAAAAAGATCTACATAGGGTATATAATTTTAATTGTTTGACATGAATTTGAGCACACAACACTTCAACATAAAATACATATTTAAGGTACTATTGGAATAACTTTCCTGTTAATTGAAAAGGTTGAATTTTCAACATGTAAATCAGAAGAAATCCTACCTGGATATGTGGCCTTCCCTTTCCTGAAAAAAATCCAGCAATAAGGACAGCAAGGGGTGTGAGTCTCTTCAAGGCAATATACATAGGAATATTTACCCCCTTCAAACTTGCCAAAGCAAATGCAACATTAGCATTGTAGAATAGGGAGAGTGGGAGGAGTTTTTTCGCAGTGGCTATGTTCATGCTAGACACTTTCGTATATCCCATAACCCGTCCTAAATGTATTAGAAGTGCGGTTGCCACTTGCTGCAATGATTGGGTTTACAAAATAATTTATAATTTTGTAAATTTGAAAATTATAATTAGCAGTGTAAACCATACTTAAATACCTGCAATGCTAGAAGCGTTATCGAGTAGGCATACTTCATGAGGATTGCCTTATTGATAAACACCATGGCCATTGAAGCGAAGCCATAAGAAACGGCTGCCAATAAGCTGCATTATGAATGGAAAAAAGAATAAGTAAGGGTATGCAGGAGTCAAACTCGTTCCTTAGCATTAAAGTTTGCAATTTCCTATGTTCCATTATTAGCATGACATACATTTTATACTTATGCTCATAAGCATCAGATAAGATAAGGAAAATGATGATGATGTTCGCACAGAGAGTTAGTGTTTGTGAAACTACAAAGTATTGGGCAAGGAGACAAAAATGGTTGATAATCATGAAAAACAAATAAAATTGTAGAAAATGATATTCACCATTGTGGAATGGATGAAATGATGAACTAATTTGAGCCAGCTACATAACTGGCCTAACAGATTTTTAACCCAAATGATTAGCCTATACGAGAGAACCAATCACTTGGCGTTTCCAATTGGCATTTCCACATCAATACTCTTTTCATCTAAATACAATATTTTCATATGCCTTAGCAATCTCTTCCTCATTTGAGAGCTCTCCATATTTTAAAAACTTCTCAAAATTACAAATATAATGCACAAGAAGCCCACTCAACCACATAAAGCTACCGCATGAATCACTCACCTTTCAACTGTAAACTTAACCATGATTGACAATATCAAAGGTCCATGGGAGCCATAATTTGCATAAATAACTCAATCCAAGCCTAACCATTGACTACGATACAAATTGTTGGGGTTAAACCGATTTCAACCCAAGAAAATAAATTACAATAATTACTTGATCCATGCCAACTATCAACTTCAATCTTATGTGTTAAGGAGTGTTAACCAAAGGGAACCAAAGTTGAGCATGAAATTAAAATATACCAATGTGTTAGTTCATTTTCAACAAAAATGCTTAAACCTATAGAAAATTGCCAATCACTTGATATTTACACCATATTTTATCACCAATCCAAATTGAAACTAAAACTTATGCTCTCATGTACCTTAATAGTTATCTAAAGCGCATCATGTAGCTGTGGCAGTTAATCATACACATAACAGCCTACCAATTCCTGAAATTGAAAAAAAGAAATGGATAATGCAAATGTGGTTCAACCCCAACACAAACTTTTTTTTTTTTTTTGCAGATTATCCCCAATCAATGAGAATAACCCAATCTATTTCAAAACCATCTTCAAAACAAATCTCACAATACAAATTTGAATTGCACAGCTCCATTCTTTCTTTCCTTTAAACATTCAGTTGATCCCTCTGATGAATAATTACTTCTAACAAACAAATGCAAAGAATTCAGTCCTCAACACACGCAAATATGAATGTTTAGATGTTAGTTATGCAAATACATAAGAATTGTGTGGTATGTATGTAAATGCCCCGTAACAAAATTGATAAAATAACTGAGCTCAACCACAGAGACTAATCCACGAAGCTATCTCTAATTTCTCCAAAAAAGCACTTTGTCATCCCCATAATCAACCCCGCCATCTGTAATCACACAACGCGTACGCGTGCGGACGCACAACATAAATTCTGTCAAAGCAAACTTCTATTAGTAGAATCAGTGGATGTCTTCTTCACCCCACTCCGAAACCTAAATCCTTTCACCCTAGATAATTCGCATAAAATTGCCGTGCTTGAAACAAAAGGAAATACAGAAGCAGGCGGGATAATAACCTTAGAACCTCGCTCGGCTCAACGTTACCGGCGCCGCCCTCCATGGCGATCAGAGCCTCCCTCGATGCCCAGTTATTGATCTTGGACCACAGAAGAACAACAGAAGGGCGGAACAGGGGATCTGTGCTTGTTTGTATGATCTAGTGGAACTAGGGCAGATAAATCTGGCCGAGCGCCATTTCAGCAATGGAGGAAACGACGGCGAAGTAACAGGTGGCGTAGCCATCGCTTTCAGATCCAGCGGATTGTTCGGCTGAAGAACATTAGAATATAAAAAGTTCTTAAAAAATCGATTTTTTTTGTGGTGCGATAACTAAAAATCATAGGTGAATGTTCTTAATAATTTTATTATTATTAATATTTGCCATATAATGCAATTAGATCTATAGGAGTCACAGACTACTTAACGGTTATATGCAAGTAGATCTTTTCAGAACTTTGAACTAGACAATGAAGCATGGCATTTTTAAATTAGAGATGAGATTTTTTTTTTTAAAATATTTATAAATATGTAATGAGATAATTGATATATAAAATAAATTTATTTTATTATAATAAAAATATTAATTTTTTTATATGAACAACATGTAATAGTTTTATTTAATTATTAAGTCCTTAAAAATACTCGCAAATAGGGTTGCATATGAACAAAATGATTGAAGAACAACGAGTAGATTGGCTTGATTAGTGCTAGTTCCTTAATTGATTAAATTAATTTGAACATTGATATTTCATCGACAAATTTATCATTCGACATGAATCTCAAGGAATTCAAGAGGAACCTCGAGACATTTTGTGGTTAGAAATATTTTTGTCCAAATTAAAAATAGTCCAAGATGGCAATTTCAACAAACTTATGGTCAAACTAACTGTATTGACGAGACGCAATGACACCAAGATTGATTCAATACGAGTCAAATCAAGAACAAATCAAGCCACTAAACCATTTGTATCATAATTAGGTTGACTACTCATTATTATAGTCAGATAAATCTTAGGAATATACCTAACTAGTATGTTTTATATCAAATTGAAAAGGCATTTTCTACAAAATCAAAGTAAAATCAAGCACACATTAGTCATTGAATGAACTTCCTAATCAGATTGGCTACTCATTCCAATTCATTCTCTCCATTATAAAACAAAATAATAGCGACTCAAACACCATTAATGCTCTTGATCCAATTGTTCTCAAGAGTCATATATACGCGAAATTGTTAGGACCTTATTTCATTCCAGGTTTGAAACCTCATCCTTTTTCTTTGGTAGGATTGCAACAATCTAATGTCATCAATATAGCATTGTGCCGCTTAACTGCGACATCAAGCTCTACTGTTTTGGTCACTTTTTCTTCATGGATCAGTGTTGCGGTGCTGTAAATATAACACTGTGATCTTACTATAGTAGTATCACTGGGTCACTACGATAACTCTGTTAATGTACTTTGCAATAGTGACTCTGTTATAGTAATTCTGATAGAAGAGTTCAAAACATAAAATAAACATCATAAAAGTATAAAATTCATATTAACACAAAAATACACAGTAAAGTTTATGCATTTTGAACACTTGACATGGGGGGTGGTTGTTGAGATGGATGGATGGATTGTTTTTTTAAGAAAAAGCCTAAGAAGTGAAGAGTAAACTTGAGAGATTTGATCAACTGTTGAGCGAATTTGTTGAAACTACAAATGATTAAAAAAATTGAGAAGAGCATAGAATATTCTTGAGAATACATATAACTAAAGAACATAGTGACTTCTTTATCATGAGAATTCTTGCATATATATAGAGTATCATGTTTTATTTTTCTTTTTTTATTATTGTTTTTCGTATCAACACTTGAAATGACATCATTTGAATTCTAACATACACACTAGTGGAATTATTTAATTCAATATAATTTGATTTTGTTGTTTAACTAATTTTTCTTAAAATCTAAAGATTAATATTAATCTAATTAAGTATTAATCTAAAAAGCACAAAATGAACTTGTTTTCATAAACCTAACCGAACCAACCAAATATGTTTGGTTTTGTTTATTTTGAACAAACTAATGTTGGTCCCTAGGATTAGGCACTATAATCAAAATTAATTTTTGTAATGAATATTAAGTTGATAATTTTTTATCTTAAAGCTAATTCTCAAATAATACTTTTTTAGGTGAATTTGGGCCTAGCCTAACATTAGTTGTTTTTTATGTATTTTTTTTTGGGTCAAAAAATTGGCTAATGGGAACAGAAAATATTACTTTATTAAATGCCACAATACCTTCCCACCTAGTCCAAATAATAATAATAATAATAATAAATGAAAATGAAATGTAGGCTAGTTTTTAGTTGTTTTATATAGAACAATAAACGAGGGCTTGAGTGGGTTCAGATTTGGCTCATGTTCAACTTGTGTTTGAAATTGTTCATGAATAATATGTTTGTGTTCGACTCGACTAGGGGTGTAAATGAGACGAACACAAGCAAGCAAAAGGTTTTTCATGTTCGGCTCGTTTATAATCAAGCTCAAAAAGTGTGTTTGTGTTCGACTCGTTTATTTAGAGAGCCGAATTTAAAGAGCCGAATACGAGCTGTTCACGAACAAAGAGTCGCTTTGACAAACCTAATCACGTAGTCATAAGATGTTAAGAGTTGGGGCAAGATTTTAAAAATTAGTGTTTATAGTAAAACATCATTTGAATCCAATTTAATAAATTTTATTATATTTTCTTAATTAATCCTTTTAATATATTATAAATATTTGTAGCCTTTTAGGCAATTCACGACGTATATATATATATATATATATTATTGATGAGTAGTATTTCAAGCCAAAATGAGTCAAACATGAACGAACAATCTTTGTTCTTGTTCGGCTTTTTAACTTGAGCCGAACATAAACTTCTTAACGAGCCTAACACGAGTTGTTCACGAAAAACGAGTCATTTTGACAGCCCTAATAAACGATCCAACACGAGCGACTTAATAAACCAAACACAAAATGTTTATGAAAAATGAGTTTTTTTTACTGCCCTAGTTCTATATTTGGCTATATCTTATATTTCAGTATAAATGTATATTTCCTAAGTGCCGCATGCCATGAGGGAAGCCGTAGAAAAAAAATGAAAATATATGCGTATTATCTATCAAATATATTAATTTATTTTTCCATCTACCTGAGTGTGATTATTATATATAGATTACGAAATATCTATGTTGGTTAAAAATAATACAAATTTACAATTATACATTATGATATTTGTTACTACATAAATAATAATAATAATAATAATAATAAGAAAATTGTATTTATTTATTAGTAACTAATGCTCCAAGATAAGACGGTGTGCTGGATGAGACCAGCACCACTTATCTGTGATACAATCACTATTGCATTAATTATATGATATATATATATATATAGCTTTTCATATGCTTCAAGGCGGACAAGCATAAGCAAATAATATATTGAAATAATTATAGTAATAAATTCACTAATAATTATTGGAGCAATTATATACAGTGGAATTAAGAGGGGCAGAGGAGGGCAGTTGACACGTCAAGATTTTTAATAACTATAAAATATCATCTTATACATAAGAAAATCAAAAATATTATATTTTACATAATATATATATATATAAAGAGTTGACTTGGGGAGAAAGTTCTAATTTTTTGGAGCCACATGTTTGT